TAAACTGGGACCTTCAGCTACGGATCTACTTGAGATCGACTCGGAATGGGACGTGACAAATTCTTCTTTGTATGATCGCTTCTCCACTTTTTTTTGATCTGGTAGCAGCTGAAGCCAGAGGAGTTTCTTGAGTTTCTTCGTGTTACCAAACAAGCGTCTTATTGATCCGAAATCCATTCCATCTTATCTTAGTACGCTTTTCCAATGGTGCCGACTAGTTTACATCCTGCTTTCCTGCCATGGACCATTTTCTTCTTGATCTCCTGCAGTCGATGTCATTGCTTTTACTCTCTATTGCAGTGGCTACTTATTGTCAAGTACAATGCCCACTTCAATCACCATTGCTTGCAAAGTTCATTATTCCATCAATGTTCCCAAAGGGACGCGTAGCGAGCGAAGCTCGCTATATTCGAAGCAAAAGGAGCCGTTGCTCGCCCCGAAAGAGTCCAGCGAGTCGGTAATTCAAGAATGATAGGCATCCAGCGAGTCGGTAATCCAAGAATGATAGGCAGACTATAACAGCTATTAGTATTGGTAGTACTATAACAGCTCTTCAGCGATTAGTTGTCAATGCGGTACCAGCATTCCCCAAATCCGCGGGTCCGCCGCGTCACAAACCCTAACGTTTTCAAGGATCATCACTGTAGGTAAATGGCAGGGATAGCCGAGTTTGAGTGTGTTGGCTCATATCTGCACTCTTAGCGGCGAGTTCGACTCGCCGGGGCACAAACCTTCGCAGGGTCCGCTGTTCTTGTTAGACGTCGCCACTTGTTCCGATCCACTGCATCTTCTGCCGTGGCTTTCACTTCAGTGAGGTCCTTCTTGATGACGTCCCTCCATCTCTTTTGTGGGGCTCCTCGTTTGTGGGGCTCCTCGTGGTCGTTTGCCCTCCACCTCGAAGTTCAACGCTCTCCTTGTCGGGCAGTCCTCGGGCCTCCTCACTACGTGCCCATACGTCTCATTGCCCATGCAGTCGTTGCTTTCGTGCCTTCAGCTGGATCGGAGAGCCGTCTGTGTAACTGCCCAGCTAGCTCTCGGTGCCATGAAGCAGTGCAGGCCTTACTGCCGTCAGTGGTGGACTTTTCCGGCATGGAGCCGAACTGCTTCTGTGTCTCATGAGGTCGGCAACCTCACGAGACTTCCCGGTAAGCGACCCCACGTTCAGGGTCCCAATTCGAACTAGCTTCTTTGGCCGAGGTCGTTCACCCCTCGGTAGCCCTCGCATACTGACCACAGAACTCGGGCGGAGTTCTGCGCGCCACTTTCGGCGACGTCCTAGCAATGACACTGATACTTTTGCTCTTTGACCAAGATTGTTGCAACGTGGTTCTCTATCAGCCGGCCTGTCTACCTGGGCTTTACGCTGGTATCTCTTCATTTTTGGCAATGTTTTGTAAGGCATGGTTCTGTGCCTCGCCGGGATCGAGCTCGTGCAGACATGAACCTACACTCTTAAAGACTCGGTTATCGCTGCCTACCAACTTTTTCTGAGTATTTTGATGAAATTCACATAGTACAACCTTCACACGTTATCGTTTCTCAAAATTAGAATATAACAAGTGAGAATCAAATTCAAACCTCTCCAACATAAACTGTCAGTTCCGCGAAACCGTCTACTCTCTTGAAAGTGCAAGAGCAATTAATGAAAGTGAGATGGTCATTCCGTCATATTAGGTGCCGCAACTTGGTGTCGCTTTCCGTGTGGCTTGTTTAGCAGTCCTGACTCCGTCAAAAATCAATAGCTCTTTCGTATTTCTTCTACTTTCTACTAAAAATCGCACTTCGGTCTTCTGTGAAAACTCACATGTGCTCTCTGAATGACTCCAAAGTCGGGCTGAAGGCTACAGGGCCTGTAATCAGAATTATTAGTGGACAAAGAAACTGCCGACTATAATGTTGACGGCTTGATTCAAGATGTTTCCATTCCAGGAAAAAAAAAAGATATCGAAAGGTAGTTCCATTGCACTGACTTCTTCTGTAGAAATCATAAGCTTTTGGTAACGGATCAACAACATAATTCACATGCTGCATTTAGAAAAATCGAAACGAAATTCTGAAGGCTATCCTGCGTTCGGTGAATCATAATCTAAATGCGTTTGGTGATGAATGGGCTGAACGTACTGCAGGCTGGACTGCCGCTGATTTGAGAGCTTTGGTTACAAACGCTCAGTTCGATGCAGTGAGAACCTGCTCTTTCGGTAAGTGGCAGTTGTGTTCATGTATTCACGTACATATTCATGTTTGCACTACCCGAAACATTCAAAAGCAATAGAATCGCATCAACAGTTTGCCGTAATTAGTTGACTTTTAGGCATTAAAAGGACAAGTGATAATGGAAACTCAATAAAAAAAGCAAGGGTATAAAGTTTAATGTTTGTTTGTTACCAGGCAACTTGTATGAACTTCTTCCCATTGACTAGCGCTGAAAGGCTCTCCCATGGGTTCTGCGGGCAAGCGGGCTTCAACTGGATAACTTCATCATAGGCTGTTGAGCTATTCGTGCCGAAACTATACTCGAAATCCCTGAGATCGGGTAGGCGTGGCTGCATGCTTCAACTTAACCTGAAGGTGTCTATGCTTCTGGTGAGATATTTTCATCTTGACACAATTGTTGTCGTGTCTCTGTCCAACACAGAACAAGATGACAGTTGTCCCAGACTGGAATATTCCACGAGTAACCAGTTCCGTGCCATGTTCAAATGCCACGCCTACTCTGGCTCAGGGATAAGGAGTGTAGGTCTCCACATAACTCGGTGTGTGTCCAGGGTCTTTTCTTACTGCTTTGAAAAAACGGTAGTCACAAAAAAACGACGTTATGAACAGAAAAGGTCCAGTAATCAACCGATTTCCCGATTTCGTGGAAAACGAACTCAAAATAATCAGGACCTGTACCTATCTTATCGAATTTGGAATGTTCAAGGAATCATTCATAGAAAATGAGTGTTGTAATTGCAGAAGTTTCTGGAATGAGTCATGGAGCCTTTTTTGTTTTCCAAAGGTTTTGAGGGCATGCGTTAGTTTGCAGGTGTAAGAAAAAGATAAAACAATGAGTGGTAAAGTTCTAGAACAATGAAAGGTGAAGCTCCTAGTAAGTGAAACTTCAACCAGTTTACAACTCTTCGAGAGCTGGATAAGTGTAATTTGAGGGACTGTACTTCATATTAGGCTGACGAAGAAGTTCGCCATGATTTTTGAAATCGGGCTCTCTCTTCACTGAGACACGTAAGTTCAAAAATATACAGCACCGTTGTCGCTGGATTTTTGCTAGTTTTGAAACACTTCATGGAGCCATCGTTTATGCAAGCCGGCGCAGCGCAAAGTTAGACATAAACTCGATTCGGGAATGCCAAGAAAGGGTGAAAAAAAGATCTTTATGAGTTGTTTCTTCTTGAGCAACTGTGCGTTGTAAATCACTTGCAACTCTCACCATTTGCTGAGTGCAGGATGCTTTCGAAAAGACTATTGGATCCAATGTGAAAAAGCACATATGGAGTCTCACTTGTGTCGCGTACTTAAGAGTAACTCGCTTGGAGACAAATCCTGCGATCAAGTGTTACTGGTAGTAGGTGCTCAATCATGAACCAATAGCCCATAAGTAACTCCCCAGTAGAGAAACAAGCGAAAAAAAACTTGGTAAAACCCTGAACAGAGTGCTCCCTCAACAATGGGGCCAGTGAGGCCGGCGCCTTCGACGAGTTCATCATGGGGACAAGCTCATTCATTGCAATCAGTGGCACGCAGGGTTCTGCGTGCCACTAACTCCAGATAAGAGCATGGGAAATTGCCTCACGACGCTCCGGGCAACGCTGTGTTCACACGCAATTCCGCTTGTGGCCGTTGTATTGCAGAGTGAAACTAATTGTGGTAGCAATGGTTGCAACACTACTCGTCTCGAGCCTCTTATTTCGCCGTTTCGAGTGACGGAAATGGTACATTCTTTGCGAATGCGGACAACGATGCCAAATGCACGGAGACATTTCGCGGACCACTTGATCGCGGGAACTGTCTCTAAGGAACCGGTCTCTTCAACGATCTGAGCTGCGTGAGCGATGTGATCGGATGTCCTGATGGATAGCGTGGTCCAACGCTGGCAGAGCAGTGATGACGGTGGTTCAACACCACATGTCGGCATATTTTTCCATTTTTCAAGACTCACTGTTCTTCCATGGACACATGTATGTGCATCAATATGGCATGGATTGCCACTCTTTTGGGCGCATTCAAATATTAGATAATCTACGAGTCGGTGCTATCCACCTGTTGGAATTTTCACATCAGGAGATCGTTGCTGAAATTTGATATCAAAGGCCTTTCAGTGCCCTGATCACAAATAAGGCACTCACTTCTAGCTACGGTGCTATTTGTTGTCAGTTTCGAGCTTTCTCTCACGGAATGCGTTTTTTACTCTCATATGTGGACTGTTGAACGCAACTATGGCGCCAAATTGCGTCTGCTTCAAAAATAGATGTCAAGATCGGGATCAGTGGAGGAGAGCTCCGAGTCGGAAAAATCGCTGTGACCTCTTTGGGTTTGCGTATTCTGTTGTGCTTATGAGTCCCACTTTTGAAGTCGTACCTCGGTAGGAATCGGGGAAGGTTTACGATGTTTTCTCACGTATTCAGCGGATACCAGACGCATGCCATGCATTGCAAGAGCTTGTTCACACCATGCCGTTCACTGTGCAGTTTGGCGGGCAATCGTTGCGTTATCGTCACGCTGTCGTCTTTACAAAGGTGTAAGGCTCCGGCGGTCTACTACAACCAAAAAAGTCACAAAAGATTTCTTTGTGCAGAGCTTATTCCTAGGGTAATCGGTGGTTCTGATCACGATCCTGAAACTTGAATTGGTGTCATTGTCATTTGTGCCAGCATGATGTCGAGCAGTCAGGGTACAGTACCGTTGTGTGGAACCCAACAACTGGGCCGTACATGACCACTAAGGAGGATGGGGAGCCGTAGCGTTGGTGAGCACCAAACACCGCAAAATTGCCATCGTTAATGGAGCGGAAGCAGGGTTGTAGTGGACCCGGATTTCGAATGTCTACGAAATATTGAACGGATTAATTACCAATATAAAAAATTTGCATACACTCTAGTTCGCTGCGGACGGTTGGGCGTGTCAGCCAGTATGAGTGTGTCACCCTATCAGAGCCGTTCTCTGCCTTCTTGTTGAAGAGCGCATGCGACAAAAAGTGGTAGAAAACGAGTACGAAGCATATGATACAGTATTGTCACTTGCCCGCTTCAACAACTGGTGTAGAACGAGTTTGGCACCGCGCCAAACGCAGCCGCACTGACACGCCCAACCGTCCGCAGCGAACTACAGTATACATTGGTAAGTACGTACTAAATAGTGCGTCTCAAAAACTTCGCCCATATCGACCTAAACATCCGCTTCCGTGGGCGCAAATTACCTACCGTTGAGCGTTGATGAAGTGCAGAGATGAGTGGAAAGCCGGGTGTCATCCGTTCATTCGAGCGTACGAATGCAGGTAGGCAAGTTGAAGCCACGCTCGCCCGGTAAGGCCGAGCCGTATCACAGCGCGCCGGCGTCAGCCAATTGGTAGTGAATGTACATACGACGACCGGTAAGTATTGGGCTGCTTGCACCGAAGCTCTGTAGAAATATAGGCACCTCATGCTTGAGGGCACACACAGTCCTTTGTGAGCGGGTCTCTACACACTTAACTTTCGCCATGTTTCTTTTCTCCAACGATTTTTTCTGATCTTTAAAGTCACTCAGGTCCATTGTAAAATTTCGTGGCAAACATCACTCAGCTCGAGTACGGCCGCCCATTTTGAGGATGTCCGCCCCATTTTATCCACTAACCCCTTGTGAACTTCATTCCAGATGTCCCCATGTGCATATGCTGCTCTGCAAGCAACTCGTGAATTTTTGACTTTTGCCCCTCCCACCGCGACCTGCTTCGCCCACAATGGGCGTATCTATCTCACTTCAATAGTCGAGGTCTTGCACACCTTTGCTCACCTTTTGCCGGTGTCTGGACTGCTCCGGGAACGTTTCAAAGTTTTTTCGTTTGGCTCCGCCCACCTAGCCGCACGCTCCGCCCACAACAGGTGTACCTCGCGTTCCTCAACGGGTGACCCATCGCTGACATTAATCCACTTTTTCCCGGTGTCTGGAGTGCTCTGGAAGCGTTTAACGAATTTTTCAATTTGGCTCCGCCCACCTCAGCGCACGCTCCGCCCACAACGGGTGTACCTCGCGTTCTCAACGGTGACCCGTTGCTGACATTAATCCACTTTTTCCCCGGTGTCTGGAGTGCTCTCGAAGCGTTTAACCCATTCGCGACCAGGCGCGTTTTTCGAAAACGGCTCGTTCGGACCGGAGCATTTGCGAGCTCTCAGCAAGTGTCCGCCACCAGTGGTGGACACGGTCCCTCGTGACCCTTACCAAAAATTTCGCACTGTTCAACTTGGCTGCTCCCAAAAATCTGGTTTTTGCTGGAACTTCGAACCCAGGGTTAGTCTGTGTTCAGGTGGCAAGAATTCTGATTTGTCTTTCAGCGCCATTGGGCGCCAGTGTGCGCTGAGTTAGTGATATAAATTTCCCGCGAAAATCGGTGTAGACGTACATATTGGGGTTATTTGTCACTCATATTGCAATACGACATTCACTTCTGGCGTATGGCGAAATCACGCCATGTGGCCGGAATGGCGCCACCCAATTTTGGGCACTTACATCCTTTGCTGAAATCGGTATTAGCTTGCACTGACGTTATTGGACATCTTGACCGGGGATAAACCACTTATTTTGTCATCGGCGCTATTCGGCGTGAGAAAGGCACCGGCCGTCGTCGACTTAGCGACGCGACCCTTCTTTGCTAGATTTGCAGCGGTTTTGCATTTGCGGGTAGTTGGGGAGAGGGGCTCGATATTATGATATTCATATTTCATCTTTATGGAGCGCGCATGGCATGGGCGCCATGCGCTCTGCAAAGGCTGATTCTCGGAAGAGGAGTGATTCACTCCTCAGAAGCTCAGCCTTAGCATAGCGTAGATGACCATAGTGCCCTACGCTAGCGCTTCTGCTAAAAATGAATGTCATCTCAATAATCAGGACGGCGAATAACCATAATATCCAAGTTTACATCAGTTTGGTTGGAGAAGCTGATAGCACCAGATTGTTTCCCATTGGCGCCAGTTGGCGCCGGCATCTACAGTGAATGTCATATTCCTAATCAGAGCAACAAAACGCCCTAGTATGCAACTTTGTTTGAGTTTCGGTGAAAAAAGTAATGGTGCCAAGTTGCATCATTCTGCCACCTGCTGACATCAGCACTAAGAATGAGTGTCACTTTTGTAATCATGACGTCAAATAACCCCACCACAGAAGTTTTTACAGGTTTCGATGAAAAAAGTGGTGGCACCAAGTTGGCTTAATTGCGCCAAAGGGCATCAAACAGGACCGACTCCAAAAACGGACGTCATATTCGTGATCAGGGCACTGAGTAACCCCTACAGCAGTTTTCTAGCAGACATTTTTTCCAGAGATTTTAGGCACGGCTGCTGCTTTACGGGCGACGACATGTAGGGAGGATATTCTTCTCGAGTTGCTCGATGTACCCGCCATCGCTCACCTTCAGTCAAATATCGGTCTTCCCATTCTAGGTACTCCGGTCCATACCATCAACTCGCGCCTCGGCGACTACGGTGAAGATGATGTCCTAGACCTGTAGCGACGTTGTCGGAGCTGCTCGATGTTGGAGGTCAGATCGAGAGTACTGGTCTCCAGGTAGCCATGGGTGACTAGTGAGTATTAGTATATATATATATATATATATATATATATATATATATATATATATATATATATATATATATATATATATATATATATATATATATATATATATATATATATATATATATATATAGTATATTATATATATATATATATTATATTATATATATATTATATATATATATATATATTATATATATATGATTTCTTCTACTACCAGTATTAAAGAGCACATTAAATACTATAATGATACTCCGCCACAGCCTTCTGGAGGAGCGCCATCGAGAGATTCGGCCGCGCGAAAGTGAGTGGGTACCGGAGTTGAGCGAGATCGTTGATTTCTCCGCCACTGTAGACCACCCTGTTGAGCTCCGCCCGAACCGAGTAATTGAGGGGGTTTTAGTTCAGGACGCCCCCGCCTCCAAATACTCCATCTTTTCACGCAGTACTCCCAACGTTCTTCCATTCCAAGTCGGGGGCGAAAGTTTTCTTCACAACGCCCTTCGATTCACCATGTGGTACGCACTCAACTGCTCGTATGCCACTTACAGAAGTTTCTAAAGGAAGGTACGGGCGACCGACACGTGAGGCAAGGAATATTCTTTTCACAGAGGCTGCCCAAATGTAGAGCCGCCAGCCGCCTCCACTCTTGCAGTGCCGGAGTCGCACGGAGGAAAATATTGGTCTTTCCCATTCTATACGGTACGTGGCTCCGGTCCATACCATCAACGACCCGCCTGGCGATGTGGTGAAGAGATGCTCCTAGAAGAGCCGTAGCGACGTTGCCGGAGCTGCTCGATGTTTGGGGTCTTGCAGATCAAGAGTACTGGTCTCCAGGTAGCTATCCATGGGTGATTCCATTCAAGAAGTTCCGCAGCTGTTTGGAGGCCACGTGAATTCCAAAGGCGTTCTCCACTCAGGCCGCGACTGGAGATGACTTCATATTTTGGTGTACATGAAGGTGAATGGCGGCAGCCGGCTCCTGCTTATAGGAAGATCTTGGGTATCTTCCGCCCTGGTACTCATATCCACTTCCTCTGTCTGGGCTGCGAAAACTTCGCTGCGTTATGTTGACCACCGTGCTATATATATATATATATATATATATATATATATATATATATATATATATATATATATATATATATATATATATATATATATATATATATATATATATATATATATATATATATATATATATATATATATATATATATATATATATATATATATATATATATATATATATATATATATATAGTAGAAGAAATTAACGGACTTTCCCAGCGCCCGCGGTACTCTGACCGCGCGCCGGTGCAGTTTTGGGCGGGGGACCTCGACACAGTCGACAGCGCAGGGGGCTGAAGTCTCATACGACCCGTCACTGTGTTTGAGCGTACCATGTGTCTTTAAGGAAGGATGTCGCTTGCCATGTCAGAGGGTAACGTTTTCATCAGCGCTTCCACCTATTTAATTCGGAGGTCGGCAGTGTATAGGTCGGCCAGCCACACAGAATGCGGCGCTTACTCAAGCTTCTGGAGGCGCAGCCGAACATAACCATCTGTGAGTTGGCAACCTGCTGTAAGGCCCTACCAAAAATAAACGTAGCACCAACTGCGCATGCTTCTCCGAAATCCTCGGGTTGTAATGGGATATTTTTTGTGGAGTATAAGTTGGACCAGTCTGACGAAGCGCACCGGATTGCCGTGACTGAGTTTTTTTTTTCCTTGTACACACTGGAAGAACATTTGTGAGATCTTGTGGTTGGTAGCGAGTGTTGGAGTCCTTGCGTAAACTATGCACACATCCCTCGCAGGATCTCTCAAGGAGAAAAGTAGATTGCTTAGCCAAAAGCAGATGTGCATGGGATAAAGATTTCAGTGTGTTATTGGTGGGACTTCAAAGCGGTATCGCTGGATACCAGCACAGCTGTAAGGACCACAGTCCACCCTAATCAGCTTCAAAACATGGATGACGTCACGCTTGAATTCATTCAGAAATACTCAATTTTTCTCTACTACTCGGCAATGCGAAGACCGCATGTGGGGATCAGGCTACGCCAAAAGATCATGGATTCTCGATCAGAGAATGCGACCGTACCCAGCTTATTTACAAAGTTAGCAGCCTCTAATTACCACCTCCTTTGATCCCTACCGCATCCTTTAGAAAGCAAAAATTCCGAAAATCGACGTCTACTTAAAATGAGGTCCATATCTTCTTTTTATCGTAGTTGCCGTAGTTCTGTAAGAGTGGAAGCACTTGTTTTAATCACTAATGGTGATTACCTTGTAGATTGGAGGTGTCTTTTAGTGAAGGAAAATTTGGTCCGAAAATTTGGTCAAAGTGTCGCAGGACTTTCCTTCCAACCTAATACGTAGCGGAAATTGGCAGTACGTGGATGACCAAATAATACAACGCCCACAGTTTCGTTCGGATCGATCTTTCCGAGCCGTATGCAGATTTGCCAGTATGAATCAAAATTACTTACTATTACGAGTTACACCTGTCCATCACCCCTGCGTGGGAGCGTACTGCACGGCGCACGTCAGACGAAATCGATCAATGATGGCCAAATTATCTTTACACTCAATTTGACGAGAATATGTATTTGTAGGCACTTAAGGTTTACGAGTGACTTATTAATGTGACACGAAGGAGTCTATCTTTCGAATGGCTCAGAAATTCTCCATTCAAAAGCCCATCTAAATATCTTCTGAACCAAGCGGGTCTTCAAGAAATTAAGGTGCTTTTCGGAGAGAGGAATATTGTGCCTTCGGTTTCGCAAACAGTTGAGTACCAAGTAATTGCTATTCGATGCACCAAAACACGTGTGCGATTTGCTGTCAAGCCATATAGACCTTTTCGAAATATTTCTCAAACATCGAAAGAATCACATGACAGTTGGTAAGTAAACGAAATAGTAGAGCCATCGCATTTACATACCGTCTTCCATTTCCCAAAAACTCTGCATGTAAAGAAGCTATCACCCTAAGATGCGCTGCGATTACTGTCCTGCTACAGCGCTATTTCCCGCCGGGATAGCAGCACGGCTGCGAGCGATTGCAAATTGTCACGTATCTAATCCTAGTCAGAGCCAATAATCGGAGCTGGAAAGGGGGAGGTCGTACCGGGACCCGCCTTCAGAGGGTGGGGTCGTACTGCATTGCCATTTCACACATCGCGATGCTTTACCCATTTGGAAAATCCTGTAGAACCCCGTCGTACTTCTCAATCTGCATATTCGTAATCAGCATTCGAGGCTCTATCAATGTACCTAGGTCTCCATTCAAAGTTCCATGGGAATTTGAACCATTCGCTTCTTAGATACGTGTTGTTCCATTCGAAGAGGGGTCCACTGATACCCAAATGGTCAAGCTCAGAAAGAAGCTTATAATATCTCACTTTGTCGGAAGCCTTGGATGAATCTAAACAAATTACGTCTTGGCTCTGTTTTTGTTTAGAGCCACATTCCAGTTGGATGTACAGTCGGCCATCAAAGTACACGTAGAAGCATTCACAAGTTTGTGCTGTTGAATAGGAAGCTTATTGAAACGTGGCGCAAGCTCCTCACGGATAGGTTTCTATACGACTTTGGTATAGGTGGAGTGACACTGATTGGACGGAAATATCTTGTCAGTATTAGGTTGCTTCGGGATCGCGGTAACGATGGACTCTTTCCATGAAAGGATGACTTCACGAACAAGGATGCATTTAGAATCATATGTATAGGTTTACATTGGAAATACCCACACTTTTTATAGACAATTTCAGGAATGCTGTCGAGTGAGCGTTGTGCGCTGAAACTCCGTCATTGTAGGTTTTTGGTATAGTTACTACGGATGCAAAAAACTTGCGAGGGCCTCTGCTTTCTGGCTATAACTGAAAGATCGTCAACTAGACCACGCAGCACCGGTATGCTCGCCTGCGGCTTCATTCTGTTTTTGATAGGGCAAATGGTTGAATGATATTGTGCGGACGAGTTTTACCCCTTTGATCGACAATTCGCTTCATATCCGCAGCTGCTTCTTGGTGATTGACCCTGAAAACAGCTTTTTCACTCAGTACTTTCACGAGCCGCAGCTCCCTAAAACTGGGTTCATGTGGACAGGCCTCGTTCCGTCTGCAGGACTGTGGGCTCCCATTTCTGAGCATTGACGTCGTGGAAGAATGTCAATAATTGGGGGTGTCGTCCTTCTGCAGCTCCTCTACTTCAGCCTCAGCGGCTCTCATGCGCGAGCCATAGTGGTAGAAGAAAAAAAATTTGAGGGAGTCGGTGCTGACGGTTCGGGACCCAACACTTGTCATATTGTGAAGAAGGAGTAGGAAACAGGTGACCGGTACAGCGGTACTAATAGGTAGAGTATCGCCATTGGATACTACAGCTCATATCATTGATCACGTCTCTTGAGATTTCGGGCAAGCACTTTAGGTTCAAAAAAATATGGCAGAACTTTTCCGCCAGCCTAATACAAGCCATTCCAATAGGGTGTTCCAGGTGATTGTGTTATGATACAGTGCTCCTTGGAAATTGGGAGCGAATCATTGATGTAAGCGGAGCGTACTGAAGTTAAAACCAAAATATGACGTTTTTACCTATTTTCCTTTTCGCTTTATTGGGATGAACTTCCACGTTTTGTATCTTATACATCGTTTAGATCAGCAACAAGGCGATGTACCTATAAGGAACTTCAACATGGAAAACGTTTTCAATAACACTCGACCTATGCGACAGCCACTTCAAGGAAGAAGTGGTCCTGGAGAAAAGTTCACTCTTCAGTAACGCTGTTTGGAGGGAACTTCGAAGCTGAATTCGCTAGCTGTGCAGTTCACTTTTAGTTACACTGAATGAATGTTTGGCGCAATTATCTCGCACCAACTTGTATAAAGCACTATCTGATTTGAATCACATTCTTTTCAATTAGCGATTTGTGGCAGAAACATTCCGCTTCCTTCTTTTTCTTTGTTACAGACTGCTGAGAGGCTCCTGTATATGGTGTAGTTTTCTCCTTTACTTTTTTGAAATTTGACATGCAGTGGAGATCAACAATGTAGTTGCCATTGTTAGCCACCATAGTGTTACACCTATCCACTTCTTCGTTTAAACTGGCTGGCCGATCCTCCTTCCCCTGAAGTAGGGCCAATCGGATCGGCCATATCACCTGTTTTTTCCTCGAGAGTTTCCAAACTTCACCGTTTCATTCCTCTCACCTCATGTATATACCTCTCCAATAACTTCCTGATGTATCATATCAACACTATTACTTCTACGATACACCGATCCTCTGCGCGAAAACCGGTATTTTCAATTAATATCAACCGATAACTTATGGCTCTGTGGAGCTCATACATAAGCATCAACAGTTTTGGCCTTAGCGGTTTCTTCTGCCCATTCTCCGTGCTATTCTTCAACTAACCAGGGAAGTCCGCCAACTTACCATGGAACTTTGAAAGGAGACCTGGGTGGATCGATAGAGTCTATAAGGTTATTAACAAATATAGATAGCAAAACTGCAACGTGCATTCCACAAGGAAGTTATGAGCAGGTAAAGTTTGTAATGGTGTAGTCGGGTGGAGGCTCGGTGGTAGAGCTGCGAAGGATAATCGAGGAATTGCTTACAGCAGATCGAGTCGCGGTGGTTCAGTGGTAAGGTTCTCGCTTCAAAGTCACATCATGCTGGTTCGATTCCCGGAGGCGCTCAAGTTTTTGCACTCCTATTTCTACCTGATTTTTTGACTTGCGTACGAGTTAACACCTGGCCATCGTTTGATTCACGTTCTCGGCCTCTATTTACTGCGGAACCGGGAGCATGGAAGTTTCTGCTCCATTGTTTTCACCTAATTTTTCGACACCCACCAAGTACTTGGCGACTTTGCAGCAAGTGTGGTAGATCGAATCGGTCAGTGCCGATTTGATCTACCTCGATGGCGCGCGTGGCATTGATTTAGCATCAGTCGCCATGCCTTTCTCTCCAGCAAAAGTGGTTTCCATACTGGTAGCAAAGGTAGTTTTCTGAAATACTCGTGGTACAAAGCGGGGGCACTATTGAACCACTCCTACCCCAAAAAACTCAAAAAAAATTTTTTCGCTGAAACGTTGCCTATAGATGTAATTCGATGCGCTGATCACGAATATCACATCCGTTTCGAGCGCTGGCGTCATTTGGCGCCATTATGCGCCAATTTGGCGCCCACCACTTTTTTCACCAAAGTCGATGAAAACTTGCATATGGGGTTAACC